TTTTTTTTTTTCCAAAGTTTCTACCATTTTTTAACCATTCAACCGCATTTCATCCTTTAGCCATTTCGTTTAATCCGCCTTCTTCATTCGAAACCATTAGTCAACAAAATAGCAAACTTACTTTCTTTTATTATATAAAACACAAACTCTAACCAAATCCAAACTTAAAAAGCTCACTAAAGATATATTATATATTGATTATGAAAACAACAAGCGAAGATAACAAAATTATCACCTAATTAAGTTATACAATAATAAGATATTATCAACCTCTTCCAAATGGATGATTTTGCTCAGGAAACTTCACTTCACCATCCAAAGAAACTCCGCCACGACCACTGCCGCGGCCACCACCACCACCGCGATTTACATTTCTCACCATTCCTCCAACTCCAAGAAAATCTAACGTTAACTTATCCGAGCCGCTCATATTTCCATTGTCTCCAAATTGAACGTCGAAGATACTGCCACCGGATCCTCCACCGCCATTAACGGCCGCTAATGAGTTCATTAGACCTTGAAGGTTTCCATTATTATCATTCTCCATAATTCGTCCTCCACCAAAGTGATTAGCGATAACACTTGATGAATTAGACGAAGAAGCTAAGCCTCTGAACAAAGCAGAAGGATCGTTGCTTGTGACTGAACCCATTTGTGTAGCTTTCTGAAGTAGTGCCGTAGCTGACACGTTAGAACCCGTGTTCAAGTTTTCTTCACGGTGATGAACCAGAACGTCGGTGCTATATAGAGAAGGAAAAGTCGTCTCCGAGTTCTTGGTGTTTTCTTGAAAGAATCCGAGGTTGAAGAAGCTGTTGTTGGTGTTGCTATTCTTGAGGTTGATGTTGTCCACTGGATCAAACTGTATCAGACCATGCTGGTTCATGAAACTCTGATCATTGTTGTTTGGCATTGTAGTCGACATTCCTTGGCTCGAAGCGCATTGGATTAGGAAGTTAGGGTTTGACGATTGCGGAAGAAAGTCTCTCCTATTTTCAGAAGTTGCAATGTTCAGATTGTAACCCGCGAGAGGGGAAAATCCAGAACTCGGATGGTCACTTAAATGGTGGTGTGAGAGAGCGCTGCCACCACCAAGTCTCCCGTAGATTCCCCCAGAGCCGACACCGCTACTAGCAGCTGCCATTGACGTAAAGCTCACGGTAGGGTTTCTTGCAGTCTCTTGTATCAATGCATCGCAGAAAGCCCTATGTGTGATGTAACTATCACGTCTACAAAGCAAAAAATAAAAATGTAAATAAGACAACGGTCGATAAATAAAGCTATTAATTCATATATATAAACTTTATATTATGTAATAATTCCGTGAGTCATAATCAATAAATGCTATAGTTATTGTGGCTACCATATATAGGAGAGAATGTTAGAAGAATATAGAGGTCGAGTCAATTGCTAATTTAGTGAAAGACCTTCTTCATTTAATGCAAAACCCATGAATGTTAATATAAGTCAGTCACATTCTGCAACAACGTATATTACTCAAACCATGAAAATATAGAAAGAAACCCTAGAAGAGCATTAAAGTGTTCACCAGAACACTGTAATAAATATAAGTAACGCACTCTTACCAAATATGTATGTATATATTACATACATAGAGAGAGATAGAGATAAGAAGAGGGTCCACAAATGAAGAGGAGTTTCGTAAAAAGGGGAACCTGCAAAGTGAAGAAGAAGAAAACAAAAGTAGAAAATAGAAAAACAAAATCCAACTCATACATGTGACCAAATTTAGCATCTTTTAAATTTTCTTACTTTCTATTCACTGTCTTTCTCTATTCACTACTCATCAACAACCAAACAAATACATTGATAGATCCTATGTACATAATGACTATATACATTTTATAAGCGGTGTACTCGAGGTTCAAACTCCGTGGCCAAATATACAATTTTTCAATCACAGATGATTATATATATTTGGTATTTTCCATGTAAATTAGTAAATAAGCTAAGTTTTACATGCAGTGTTGAATGCAGCTTTTACTTAGAATAGATTTTCAATATAATACAAAATAACGGTGGTCCATTGTTATACTTTACCAAGATAAGAAGGTATATCTTGATACCACACACACTGACACATATATTATACGTTTCATCACTTAAACCAAATACGAACAAATTATTTAAATGAAATGGATAGAGATTAGTTACCTAGAGAAGATGGTACCACAGTCACATCGATACTCCTTAGTTCCACAAGTCTTAGAGTGAGCCTTCCAATCTGACTGAACAGCGTAACGCTTAGAACATTTCTCGCATTTCCACTTCTTTTCGCCATGTTTACGGTAATAATGCTTCTTGATTCCGGTGAGGTCTCCGAGAGCACGTGATGGGTCATGGTGAACGCACGTGGGCTCCGGACAAAGATATACTTTCCTCTTCACTTCTTTGGTTGACTTCTGTTTCAGCTTCCATGGGAGGTTGTGTCCTCTTCGGTGAAGCTGTAGATTTTGTTCTCTTTGAAACCCTTTGTTGCATACATCACATATGAATCTGTTTGTAGCCATTAGTGTCTTTGGAGATAATGCTACCACTTCCGCATCAGGATCTATTTCAATCAATAAAAGACTTTAACCAATTAAATTTAGTCACCAATCGGATCCGAAATGTCAATCTATGTAGACTATATCGAGAAAATGTTACACACAATTACAAACATGTACATAGACTGTCAATATAGATGATGAAATCTTGATACTATATTTACAAAAAAAAAGAGAACAAAAGATTAGGGTTCTTCTATTTGTTTTCTTGGATTTATCTTAAAGCTTATAGTGATTCTTATAGAAATTTATTAGTGATGAATCCCATAAATATATATAAAAGAGAGAGATTTATGTGTAAGAGGTACTTGCTTGGGTTTCCGGGTTGGTTTCTTCGTTTCTTGGGTGGTGGAGCTGAGGAGTTAGGTTGTTGAATCATTGACATAAAAGTATCTTTCCGGTTAAAGTCGTTATCTCCGGTGCCGGAGCTGGTGATGAAGAAAGGCTGAGCAGAGGATGATGATGAAGGAATAACGCTTGTGTTATATGATGATGACGACATCTTTAGATCTTCTTCTTTGCGTGGAAGAGAATAATCTACAAATAATTCATAAGAAAAAAAAGTTAGAAAAAAAAGATAGTGAAAGAAATCAACTAATCTTTTGATAAGAAAACGAAGGGAGGAATTATAAGAACAGGAAAAATCCATAGAGATTGACGACATGAAGAATTTTTATAAAAACAATTCACTAGAAGACATAAACAAAGAAAAACAAATTAAGAGTTTATACTTTTGTTTTTTGTTCCTAAACTTTTGAAAGAATTAAGAGGAAAGATTTCTGAGTTGTTTTTTTCTTGTACCTGAGATCAAGAGAAAGAAACCAAGAAGAAGAAGGAAGAAAAAATAGTCAAAATTAAAAGCTATAAATCGGAGCTAAAGAAAGAACCAAGAAGAAGATGATGATGATATAGAAGGTGATGAAGAAGAAGACACTATTCCTATATATTATGTATTATAATACAAATACAAACCTCAAAGCCCTATCTCTCTCTATCTGTATATCTCTTTCTCTCTCTCTACTGTTTTGTGTTCTTCTTCTTTTAAAAATAAGCCATATATGAAATGATCTTGAAAAGTATGTCTAAGGTCCCCTCTCTGTCTCTATCATTTTATTTTATTTCATTTATATAAAATAAAGCTACTTTTTTTCTTATAATTTAATTTGACAGAATTAAGAAGGATGGTTACGGTTTGGGTGTCACTGTTAAAACGGTGAAATGTGTCCACATGCGGGGGTGTGTTGTGGGTACCACATTTTTCTCATTCGTATCTTTCTGGTGAGCTTTAAGACAAAACCCTCGTTTTCTCTTCATTTAACTTGATTAGGTTTTGTTGTACTAACTTTTTATTGTTTTTATCTAACAAAATCGTTAATAATATAACATATTGTATATTAATACACATGATACACCAATCATATAGACACTTTTTTAAATTTGTTAGATTCTTTGTATGAAAATTAATATATTGCTTTTTTATTTTGGTTCAATATGTTCAATTGTTCAACCTTAATTAAGAAAAATCCAATGCAAAAGAATTGAACCAATTGGTTTGAACCAAACCTTAATCCTGAACGAGTAACCCTCAACCGATCTGAATAGATTTTATAACAATAAATCAGAAAATTTCAATCTTAATAAACGTGTATCCAGAATTTGTCCCGAATCATCATCATCTTCAATAATCGTTTTGCCAATAAAATGGAATGAACTTCTTCAATGCGCTTCATCATTCTATGAACTTTTAGATAGCCAGAGAATATTCACAATAGTATTTGAATGAATTTGCTGATACCCATGTAATAGTTGCTGCTTGCCATATACCAAGTAGATTTGTACCATTTTAATTCCAATATCACTTTAAGAGCTTTGATAAAATAAGATTGATATATATTACTAATCGACCGTATAGTTTGATTTTCTCTTTTTCACCTAGTCTTTTTATCTTATATAATTTAATTGTTACTTTAGTTTAATTAGAAAGTACCAAAACATATTAACTTGATACTCTCTTCATTTTAACAAAAAAACATATTAAGTATCAGGCAACTTCTCAACTTGATACTCTCTTCATTACCATCGACCCTTATAATAAGATCGTACCAACTAAGCTGAAATAGCTAAGCCTCTCTGATTGGGTTGTAATATGAAATAGCACACACTCACACACACAAAAGAGCCTATATAAGGAGATAGATACCAAACACAGCCCACGAACCAGTTGTTTTTTGGGCCAGCCCTCTAGAAAAGTAAGCCCACAAGAAACTTAGATGAACCGAAATTGTATGGGAAAATAAGAAAAACTCAACAACTCTGTTTCTGCCATTCCGAGAGTTGATAATAATTTTTATAACTGAATCTGATACACTTCAAAGTTAATGGATTAGCTAGTCAACATATGAAGAGCTAGGTCTCTTTTTCACTAGCTCCGTTTCATCAATAGAACGAAAGAGATAAACTTGGAAAATAAGGAACAGCTAAGCGTTTGTAACAAGAGTGATACAAATGATAATAACCTGTAGAATGAGGATTAAGATCGAAAGCGACGAGGTTATCTTCATCGCGAAGCACGAGGATAACCTTATTGGTGTCCCTACAAATGGCCAAAGGTGTGAGAGGAGGGTGCGGAATGTCATGAGTACCAAACAAAGTGGAGTAATTGGAAGTGGAAGGCAAGTGAACGGAGAAGATCTTTTCCCATGTGTTGTCTTTAACCCTCCACCAAATTTCTTGCTTATCTCCAATCCACTCAGAGATGCAGAGACGGCCATGGAGATTGCATAGAACAATGCTATCACCATAACAATCAGAGGTAATAAAAGGTGGGGTTTGAATGATTTGAAACATCTCTGTGTGAATATCAAAAACTATGAGTTTGGTATTTGATGTTGGATCTCCATCTTCATCTCCCGTGACCCAGTAGATTGATCCGTCTGCAAACACTGGCCCCTGATCGCTATACAGATTATGATTCAAGATATTATGACGATCAAGAGTATTAGTATTCACGAACCTATGTTTTTTCTTCTAAATCCAAAACCTCACACGTAGTAGTAAAAAAAGGATAAGTATTATATAGCCATACTAGTTTATATCTTCCCGTAACGCTATCTTTACTGTCAAATATTATGGAATAAAATATATTATTGAGTTGTATCAAATATGAAAATACAAGATACATATATATAATGTCAACATTAACATAATGCTAACACCCATATAATGTAAACTTTCCTAAACACATAAGTATATAGCTTGTACAAGAGGTAATATAGAGATCTAGAATATTCTTCGGTTTGGGCTTCACTCCATAATGGACTTTAACGATCCATATTACTTGGTCCGCAAGATACACATCTTGCGTATCTCCAATACTCCCTTCACGACAAAAGTGAGAGACGCAAAACGCAAAATATGCAATCACAAAGCGGAACACCTATGTCGTGGACATCATGTCGAGGAAGGACAAATCATGTCAAACACTCCTCGGGGTACAACAAACTTCAAAAGAGGGATGGAACTTCAGCTCGCCTTTAGTCTTGGTAAATTGGGAATAACAACATCCCGTGGGTGCAAATCTTGCAACTCCACAAATAATTGTCCTTATCACGGATAGTCCACAAATCGGATTAAAAAATTTTGACCTAAAAACAAGAGCATTCCAAACAACTCCCCCGTAATATGAGAAATCAAAACTCATATTAAAAAAATTAAATATTCTAATCAACAATAAATCTCCGTGAAACCCAAAAACCCATAAGCATCATCACTTTGTAGAATATCCTAATTAGAAAAACTCTTGCACTAATTCAATAAAGCCTTATTTAGAAAGAAACCTAACTATTGTAATAAACGTAGACATAAAAAAAATATCTCATACCCTAAAATCAAAACCATAACGTGGACACAACCTCACGTCATCATCATCTGGATCGTCACCATCACCATCGTCTTCGATGGCTTCACATCCCATGGGCATTATGATCACAAATTTTTTTTAATGCGGAAGCGTTTAATTTAGATTAACAACTCACAAGGATCGACTTCTCTGATACCATGTCAAATATTATGGAATAAAATATATTACCTCAATACTCCCCCGCACGACAAACGTGGTCCGCAAAACGCAAACTTTGCAATCACAAAGCGGAACACGTATGTCGTGGAGGATATGTCGGGACGGACAAATCATGTCAACAAACGCCTAAGGGTATAAGCTTCAATCTTGAAAATAGGGGTGGAATTTTTGCTCGTCTTTGGTCTTGGTAAAAGGGAATACATCCCGTGGGCGCAAATTATGCTGCTCCACAAACAATCATCCTTATCTTGGATGGTCCATAACTCGGACTAAACATGACCTAAAAACATGAGCGTTCCAATAAACTATACTAATGGTTAAACTATAACCAAACTCCCCCGTAATGGTAAAACTATTACCAAACTCTCTTACAACTAGAAGAGCCAATATATAAAATTTCTCTGAAAAAATCTTAACTCAAGAATATCCAGAAACAATAAAACTAGAAACCCATATAAGCCATAAACGACCCTTTAGAATCATTATTTTAAATAAAAGAAAAACCCCATTAATTATTGTACTAAAAACCAAAAACAGAACTCTAACTAAGAGTAAATTGTTCTCTTAATAAAAAACCTAACGTGGAACAAATCCACACCTCACGTCATCATCGTCTCCGTCTCCACCGTCTTCAACATCATCTTCTCCTCCAAGGGTCACCGTCTCCATGATCTTCTCTTGATCACAAGAGTTCTAATGCGGAAGCTTTAATTTCGATCCACTAGAATCGTCTGCTCTGATACCATGTCAAATATTATGGAATAAAATATATTATTGAGTTGTATCAAATATGAAAATACAAGATACATATATATAATGTCAACATTAACATAATGCTAACACCCATATAATGTAAATTTTCCTAAACACATAAGTATATAGCTTGTACAAGAGGTAATATAGAGATCTAGAATATTCTTCGGTTTGGGCTTCACTCCATAATGGACTTTAACGATCCATATTACTGGGTCCGCAAGATACACATTTTGCGTATCTCCAATATTTACCAAATCCAAACTGAGAAAATGACAGTCTTGGATATTTAACAGGATTTGGATCTTGAACTGAATCGGGATCGACCTGTTTGTTCATACAAATCTGTTGAATTCTCGATAGTGGGAGTTCTATGTACGTTTTTGTAGCCGGATTTACCACTTTTACTGCTATGTCAACGGCATATAAGCAGACAAGGCCATCGCAGCTCTCTGAAATATAGAGATTCCATTCAGTTATTTCGAATTTCAAAGCCTTTTCATCTATCACAGAAGCTGACGTCGGCTCCAAGGCAACTGTTTCTAAAGAGAAATTGGTTTCCTATGCCACTTTAGCTACAAAATAATTAGAGACAAGAAGAAGTTTGCACTCTTTGCTTTGCTCAAGAGCCATGTATCTTTCTACGAAATCCTTCGACATGATAAAAGATCTCCAGTGTTTTGACACAGCTAGAAATCTCATGAGCGTTTTCACTGGAAGCATCACCATGATTTCTTCGACGATATCGTTAGGTATATGAATCTTCTCAAACTCGCTTCTTCTTCGTTTGATTTCTTTTCTTGCGGACGAAGCAACTTGTTTGTTTGTAAGTAGTTTCTGAGTCTTCTCCATTGATGTCATGTTTACTTCTTCTTACTCTCGTGAATTGAATGTCCGCCGAATTCATAAACTATGTCTAGCAAGGAATTAGGTCAACGAACTAACATAACCTAATACACTTTGTTTTGTTTAAGTTACGCATCTATTGGGCCTAAACGAGCCAATACAAAATAGTTCTACAAAACCAATGATCTAACATATATAACCCATTAAATTTTTTGTATATCAAACATATTTGTTTTCTTTTTCTTGATCAAGGAATCAAATTAAACAAAAAAAAAATAATAATAACTTGGCAAGAAAGATTTCAAAAAAAAAAACTCACTGGTTGTCACAAGCCCTCTTGAAAAACTTAGCAAGTCAAGCAAATTACTCGAACAATGGTGTTCACCGGTTGTTGAACTTGCCTATGTCCTTCGCTCGTTGCGCTCGTGCCAGAGGTTATAGACCGTTGACTGAAACGCCATATAAATAAGGATGAAAGTTAATTTCTCATAGGGTTTATCCATTAGCCGATGTATTGTGATATGATGGTCCAGTCCGGTTCCGGCACCACACCAAGAATATCTTCTACTACCTCTGTCCATACCGTAAACGTGTAGGGACAAGCAAAGAACAATTGATCCCTCGTTTCATCTGTCTCTCCCAAAAAAACAAACAAGTTTGGACACAACGCCAATCAAATAATCTTACTCCATCTCACTCTTACTACATCATCACCGTCCAGAGCTTGCAAACAGTGATAATGTGGTTCTAATCAATTGCACATTTCAATTTACAAATCATAACATATTAAGTATTAGGTGTAAGTTTTTTTTTAATACTATCGACAAGACCCAAGCCTTAACCCATTATTTTCTACTATGAGCAATAACAAGATTTGATGGAGTGAATTCTGGTGAGGAAAGTTACAGAATTGGACCTTTAGCATTTGACTAAAGACACTTCTCCAGTTTTTTTTTTTTTTTCTTTGAGTGTAAAATTGTTTTAAATTTAAAACTTAATTAAATTCGATATTTGTGTATGAAAGAGTTCTGTGAGGAATCTCTTAGTATTATTTTTGTTTTCTTGGTTAAACGTAAATTGTAATGCAAAAAGGAACGAAAGAGAGTGTGATACAACAAGCAGCCCAACGGTTAACACCAATATGTTTTTAGAACAGCCCACTCGAAAATTAAACTAACATGAAACCTAAATGAATCAAGATTGTAAGGAATAACTAAAATTTAAAACCGTCACCAAGATCAAAGAGACACAATATATATCAACTGTGTATGCATGTGTCTACCATTCGGAGAGTTAGATATTCTGGAAACTACGAATGAAACTCACACACACTTATTGCCAATTTTGATAATTGATACACATCAAAGTTATTGGATCAGTCAACATATATGACAAGCTAGGTCTCTTTTTCAATAGAATGAAAGAGTGATAAACTTGGAAAATAAGGAACAGCTAAGCCTTTGTAACAAGAGATATACAAATGATAACCTGTAGAGTGAGGATAGCCTTATTGGTGTCCCTACAAATGGCCAAAGGTGTGAGAGGGTGCGGGAAGTCAATACCAAACAAAGTACAAGTGGAAGGCAAATGAACGGAGAAGATCCTTTCCCATGTATTATCTTTAACCCTCCACCAAAACTCTTGCGTATCTAAGTAATTATCAACCAGCACTTGAGATATACAGAGATGGCCATGGAGATTGCATAAAACAATGAGATTACCATAAAGATAAGAGGTAATAAAAGGTGGGGTTTCAACGACTTGAAACATCTCTGTGTGAATATCAAAAACTATGAGTTTGGTATCTAAATTTGGCTCTCCATCTTCATCTCCAGTGAGCCAGTATAGATTGATCCGTCTGCAAACACTGGCCCCTGATCGTTGAACAAATTATGATTCATGATATGACGATCAAGAGTATCAGTATTCACGAACCTCCATGTTTTTTCTTCTAAATCCAAAACCTCACACGTAGTAGTAGAAAAAAGAAAGGTATTATATAGCCATACTAGTTTATATCTCCCCGTAACGCTATCTTTCCCAAATCCAAACTGAGAAAATGACAGTCCATGAACTGAATTCGGACGGCACCTGTACTTTGTGCATACAAATCTGTTGAATTCTCGATAGTGGGAGTTCTATGTACATTTTTGTGGCCGGATTTACCACTTTTACTGCTATGTTAATGGCGTATAAGCAGACAAGGCCATCGCAGCTCTCTGAAATATAGAGTTTCCATTCAGTTTTTCGAATTTCAAAGCCTTTTCATCTACCACAGAAGCTGACGTCGGCTCCAAGGCAACTGTTATTAAAGAGAAATTGGTTTTCTGTGCCACATTATCTTTAAAATAATTAGAGACAAGAAGAAGTTTGCACTCTTTGCTTTGCTCAAGAGCCTTGTATCTTTCTCCGAATTCCTTAGACGTGATCAGAGATCTCCAGTGTTTTGACACAGCTCGAAATCTCATGAGCGATTTCACTGGAAGCATCACCATGATTTCTTCGACGATATCGTTAGGTATATGAATCTTCTCAAACTCGCTTCCTCTTCGTTTGATTTCTTTTCTTGCGGACGAAGCAACTTGCTTGTTTGTAAGTAGTTTCTGAGTCTTCTCCATTGATGTCATGTTTTCTTCTTCTTACTCTCGTGATTTAGAGTGTGCGCAGAATTTATAAACTGTGTTTTGCCTTCTTCTACCAAAACTCGATTTCCTTATTTCAGCAATTAGGTTAAACTAACCGACATAATGTGGTGGGCTTTAAGACAAAACCAAAACTCCACAAATCAGTGTTTAGGAATTAGGACCTTTAGAGCATGATTAACAATGGTATCTTAAAAATGGTTCTTAGAAGTATTAAAGTAATAATATGACATGTGGTTGGTTCTTAAGGTTAGTTTTGGGTCTTAACTAAGCCACTTTTCTTAGTTTTGGGTCTTAGCTAAGTTACATTTCTTACTTAAGAACTCTTTAAGATACCCTTGTTAGGTTTTACTTTTTAAATCATCAGTTGGGCCTAAGCGAGCCCAAAGGCTAGAACTAAATAATTCTACAACTGATTTTTTTTTACGGCAAAAATTCTACAATTAATTAAAAAACATATTGATGGGTTTTTTCAATGGTAATAATAACTGACTATGATTACAATATATAAATGTTATTTTTTTTAATTTTCTCAACCACAGTTATCAAGTATTGTAAAAATTCTGTCTTTTTTTTTTCCTGCAATCAATATCATATCTTATTATATAATTTTGAAAACCGTACTTTATATAATAAAATGTGTGATAGTCTCTAACTCATCATAACTGTGTTAGTCCGTTACTCATTCGATTTTGGCATTATTTGATAAAAACAATTACAACTTTTTTTTTTCTAGGAGACTCAAGATCTTTTATGTACATAAAATTTGGTTTACCAAATGTTTGTCAAAATTCATGAGATAAAAAATTAAAGCTTTTTCTTTTTACTTTAAATTCCTTTTTCACTAAAAAACAATTTAAATTCCCTCTATGCAACTACATAGAAGTAGTATTTTGATCATTAATTAGTCATCATCATCTTTATTCTTGTTATTCTCTCATTTTTTTTCAATCTTTTTCTTGAAAATTGAAAATCAACTCATACTTAATCCATGGGATGGACGCATATCGAAGATTCTCTTCTTTTGGAAGACGTCAGGAAATACGGAACACTCAAGTGGAAACAAGTAGCTGTGTCGATGTTATCGCACCAACATTCTCATGTTGCGTGCAAAGCAAGAATACTCGAATTGATCGAATCAAATGTAGCTTTCTCTTTCATTCGCAGTTTCCGATCAAAAAGATGATCGTGAATTATGTATAATAGTATTTGTTTAGGTATTCTTTTAATTTGTATGGTGATGATGTCGATATAGTATACTTTTTCGATGTATTTTGTAGACTTTTTTAGGTTATGTATATTATCTGCACACTATTTTAGGTTATGATTGATGAAGTCATAGATTTCAAGATGACCATGACTTAACTTTAATAATTATTTTATGCCTTTTATCTGAACCAACATTATGGTTACGAATCCCATGGAAGC